GTTAATCGATTCAGAACGATTTTTAAATTTTTTTTTTGATAAAATAAATAATATTTGCGTATGGAACTAAAGAGCCGCAGCTTCACATCCAAAGAGCCGCATGTGGATCGTGAGCCGCAGGTTGCCGACCCCTGCACTAGACGGTCACATCACAATGGTGCACAAGAATAGAACACATAATATAATACACAAGTACACCACAAAGCATGGATTGATGTAGAGTTGATGCAGAAAACAGTCCAGTAGAAAAATATAAGCTCCTTCCAGTTTCAGTAAACTCAATCAATTACAATAAATGTAATAACGTGTATTAAGTTCAAACACAAACTGTTGTAGCATGACAAAAATAGTTCCACCAGGTATTATCACAGAGAAACAGTGACAGTGTGTCAAGTATATCTCCACCAGTAGAACCCACAGAATTACCCAGAGTGTCAGCCACAAGAAAATGTACACAAAGATTCAAACTTTGCAGTCTACGACTGTTAAAGTAGAATATGCTTGGTACAGGGAGTACTTGTCATACATGGTAAATAGAGCACTCCGACAACTTTTCTGTGGCATGCAATCCAGGGCTCATAATAAAAAAGAAACATCCAACGTCCTCATAAATTTTTTGTGCGTCAAAAAGATTTTATCGTGTTATAAACTGTGTTTATACAGAATATTTACTCATAATACAACATAAAAACTTATAAAATTAATGTTCAATATTTATTTTAAAAATTTTCAATTACTGTATTTATAATTTTTATTAAACATAAATTACACGAACTTTTAATGAACAATTTATTATACAATATAGTACTGTATAATAAAATCGCAATTGATGTTTTGTTTTCATTGATATATCGACAGTATTTGTCTTTAAATATCATTGTTAAAAAAACAATGACGCTAAATGTCGATATCGATCACGACAACGACATATACGTATCAGGTTCCTATGTTCATGATATCGATATATACGTAAATGTCAATCAATACATTATAAACACGAATAAAATTCAGTATTAAAAATTAAAGCTTATTTTATATCAGAAACACTGATACAAATAACCAGTGATTTGCAAGCTGTGGCAGTCAGAATTTCTATTGGAGTAACTGTCACAGTTTGTTCTATATACTTGCCACCGGATGTCAGAGTCAATGAGGATGAATTGGATACCCTGGTTGAACCCATCTGAAAGACATTATCTCGAAATGGTTGTATTGGAAGAAGGGTTATGCGGCCCTGTGGTGTGTACCAATTAATCAGAAACAAACAGACGTATAGGCAGCTTGTTACCTTTTTAAGAAGATCATACAGAGCAAAGTAGCTCGGGTTAAATTGCAATTAATTTTACTGAGCAAGTTGCTCAGTGGGTTTTTTTTTTGTGTTTTGTATAATTGTATTTAAAGTATAAGTCATTGTAAAGAATATTGTATCTAAGCCCCGTTATGTGAAAGCGGTGCGGGGAAAGACTGATCCCCATTAGGGGATATTATGATTCCCATTCAATGTATGAATACATGTACATTTGTATATATACTGTACTGTTTAAACAGTATACAGGATTGTGATTTGTGAACTATTAAATAATAAAAAAATAACCCTGGTTGAACAGCTGCCAACTCCATTAGTTTTATTAAGTGATTTCAATGGCCACAATCCTATGTGGGACAGTCCCGACATCAACCGTTGAGGCAGAGCCATTGAGAGATTTATAGGTAATCATCAACTGTATTTATTTAATACTGAAGAAGTGACGTACTTTCATGCCCCAACAAGAACATTCACTGCCATTGATCTATCATTAGCAAGTCCAAATCTGTTTTCAGTGTTTACATGGGAGGTTGGATCTAATCCACTTTCCAGTGACAGTCCACTTTCTGCCTCGATATTTCAAAAATATCGAGGCAGAGAAAGCTGTGGAACAGCCTGTCCACCACACTGGAAACTTGAAACTGGCCTACATTCTCCTCTTTGGCTAACATTACTGAGGAAATGGTCACTACTGATGATATCAATGATGCAGTTGAAGTTGTCACTTTCAGTATTATTCAGGTAGCTGAAAAAACAATGAGGAAAACATCAACCAGATATCAAAAGCATCTGAAACCATGGTGGAATCAGAATTGCGAGGCAGCATTTAAAAAACAAAAGAAAGCATGGGGAATTTTCAGAAGATACCGCACTGCTAACAATTTGGTTGCTTTTCAAAAAGCAAAGGCAAATGCCAGAAAAATAAGAAGGAAAAGGCAAAGGAATTCTTGGAGGAAGTATGTCTCTGGCATAACATTTTCCACCAGCTCAAAAACAGTCTGGGATAAATTCCATAAAATTAATGGGAAATATGCTTCTCACTCTCTGTCCATGCTGGAAAATAATGGCAAAATAATCAGCAATATAAAGGGTATTACTGATACGTTGAGTGAAACATTTTCCTCTTCATCCAGCAATATTATGTATTCAAGAAATTTTCAGGTTTATAAAGCCCAAAGTGAAAAAACAACATTTAAACTTCCACTGATCTAAAGAGGAACATAATGTGTCATTTACCAGAATTGAATTACATACAACGACCTCTCGCTCGGGGAATACTGCTGTAGGCCCGGATAAAATCGACTACAATATGATTAAAAATCTTTCAAGCAATTCCCTTTGTAATCTTTTGAATCTGTTTAACAGAATATGGAGAGAACATACATTTCCTGACTCTTGGAGGCTATCTATCGTAATTCCCATCCCCAAACCAGGAAAAAACCGCAAGAATCCCTCTAATTATAGACTAATCTCTCTGACAAGTTGCCTGTGTAAATTCTTCGAGAGAATGGTAAACAGACGCCTGATGTTCTTCCTAGAGGAAACTTAACTAGTTTTCAACACATCAGAGTGGATTTCGTAGGAACAGAAGTACCACGGACAATTTAGTAAACCTTGAAACATCCATATACGCGAAGCATTTGTTTGACGACAGAACTTAGTGTCTGTGTTCTTTGATATAGATAAGGCCTAAGATCTCTGCTGGCGATATGGAATACTCCGTGATTTGCATGAATTCGGTTTGTGGGGTAATTTGCCAATTTTTATAAAAAACTTCCTACAGAATCGAAGATTCCATGTCGGGATGGGCAACACTTTATCTAGTGGGCTTTTCACACAAGAAGAAGGTGTTTCTCAAGTTTGTATTTTGAGTGTTACTCTGTTCCTAATTAAAATTAACAGCATAGCTAACTGTCTCCCTCCTAGTGTAAAACACTCTCTGTATGTGGATGACTTTCAGATCTCCTACCAGTCTAGTAACATGAGGTTCATTGAGAGACAACTGCAAACCTCCCTAAATCGCATAGACAATTGGTCCAAGACCAATGGTTTTACTTTTAACACAGAGAAGACCTCGTGCATCCACTTTTGCCAATGGCATGGACTGCACCTGGATCCTGAAATTCACCTAAATGGGGTTAAAATCCCAATGGTCTATAAGGTTTTTTTGGGTGTTTCATTTGACCAAAAACTGATGTTTTTACCACACTTGCACAATTTGAAGAGCAATGTTTAAAATTTTGAACTTTTTAAAGGTATTATGCTGCTCATCCTGGGAGCAGAAAAACTTTTTATGCTCACGATTTATAGGGCCCTTATCCGCTCTAAGCTGGATTATGGATGCGTTGTTTACAGCTCGGCGCGTGAATCTACTCTTCGGATGCTGGATCCAATACACCTTCAAGAATTGCGTTTGGCAACTGGTGCGTTTCGAACTTTTCCTGTTCAAAGCCTGTATGTGGATGCTTATGAGCCTCCACTATCTCTCAGGAGAGAACAGTTGTCTCTATTTTATTATATAAAACAGAAATTTCAGACTAAACCTTTTGTTTATTGCACAGTATCAGATACTCAGCTGAAAAGATTATTTGCAGCCTGCAGTAGTAGTGTCCATACATTCGACATAAGAATGGATAATGTAAGCAGCACGATTGACCTGGTCACAAGAAACATCACCTTGGTCAACTCCTGTGATATAAATGTTGACTTTAATTTAAAGCAGTTTCCTAAGGAATCCACTCCAGATTACGTCTATAGACAGCACTTTGCAGAAATTCAACATCGTGACAGGAATTTAATTCCTATTTATACTAATGTGTCCAAATCGAATGATTACGTTGGCTCAGCCTTTGTTTGCCAGGATGAAATCGTAGCAGTACAAATTACACTGAATTATTCCATCTTTACTGCAGAGCCACAGGCTATTTACCTTGCCTTAAAATATTTAATTAGGAAAGGTCATCATCGCTGTGTGATTTACACTGACTTTAGTGCACTGCAGACTTTGATTTCGTGTGAACCTATTTCTCATTCCATAGTGATTAAAATTCATAAACTGTTTTGCCATCTTATTGCGAGTAATATCTTTGTAAAATTTTGTTGGGTTCCAGGTCATATAGGTATAAGCGGAAATGAAGAAGCTGACTCAGCTGCAAAGTCAGCTAGTCCTTCATAGCATACAATGCGTATTGAAAGAGGTAATTTGAAGGTAGTCATTAAAAAACGATTAGCAGAGAGATGGTAAAACGTGTGAAATGCACAAGTCCACAATAAACTACACAAGATCAAACCCACGATAGAAAATTGGACACATAATAAAGAGTATGATAGGAGATCTGAGGTTATCCTTACCCATTTGAAAATTGGACACACTCGTATGACTCACAAATACCTTCTGAAGGGTGAGGACCAGCCAGTGTGCCAGTGTTGCAACACATATTGTGCAATTCCTCTGTCTTTGAAAGGATGCGAAGACAGTATTTTCAAAATGCAAGTCTGACAGAGGTTTTGGACCTAAGGCCAAATCGGACAATATAGGCTACTGGACTTTCTGAAAGTCATTATTATGTATACAGAGAGATGATTATTTATTTATTTTACAGTTTTACCTATATTGTTTTGCTTATTTATGTTGTTGTATATATTTGTTGTTGTTTTTAATTTATTTATTTATTTTTGTCATATGTTAGTTATTTGTCATGTTTGAAATTTTTCACCATTTGCCCTAGTGCAGGTTAACGTATATGGCTCTTGTGCCAAAAAACCAAAACCAACCAACGAACCAATTCACAAAAGCGATATAACGAGGAGCTATTGTACTATGATAAATAATACTGTAATCAGTGGTAAGTAAATAATATACATATCTATAGGTAATTTTATCTTAATTATTACACTTATCATTATACGATATATAAAGTAAATTAGTACGAGTTCAGTAAAATTATACAAAATGTTCACTATTACATTTTTAATATTTTAAAAACTTCTCTTATTATAAACTACTTTCAGAAAGTTGGCAGATCCTAATAATTTAATAAAAATACAATTTATTTTACGAAATGAAATTGGACCTCGAGGCTAACAAACCTCAGGACTTATATAGCAAACATACAATACCTTCGAGAAAAAATAGAAGTAAATAAATAAAACGAGTAGGGCAGTATCGTTTAGAAAAAAGTCGTTAAAGCAAAGTTCAATTAGAAATGTATTAAGATAACATTAATTATGAGATTATTTTCCATATAAAATACCACTATAAGAAGATAGCATTACACGTCCATAAAATAACAATTGCACAACATTAATAAATACCAATGTAAATTCGTCTCTGTAATCCAAAACACACGCTTTGGTAGACTTTTCTCACAGCAATTTCTGGTTAGCAAATTTAACTTTTATTACTCATTGAACTACAAATATATTTCGGGTTGGTATAATATACTCCAACCCCTCTTCAGTGCTAGTTCAAATAAACAAAAATGTCAAAACATGACTATGTTATATTACATTAAATGAAACAAACCAAAAAAACATCAAAAACACTTACATTTTTTCATTAAGTACATAACAAAATTTGTTTCTTATTTTGCTATTTTCACAAACTATAGGGTAGGAGGGTAGACCGTTTTACAAACATCAGTTTTTGTTTTAACTTAAATACTATGCATGCCATGTTCATATGTAAAGACAAATAAAGACTGCCATAGTTTAACTTGAAGGAGAGATTAATACTAAGGACGGATGGATTACGTCTGTTCTCCAGATGTCTATTCTGCAAGGTGGGGACATTAACACCTCTATCCCCTGACCAAGTGATCTCTTCCACTGGTTCTCCGAATTTTTCACCATTGCAGATGTGGGGTTAAGGGGAGTGGTACACACAAACATTTTAAAAATTTAAAAATCAAACATTTGTATTTTATATAAAAATTAGAATTTTTCTTTCCATTTTTACAATTTTCAATTACACATGGGNTTTAAAAAATTTTTGTTAGGCTTAACATCGATGAAAATTAAACGCGAAGTAGATTAATAGCGATATACTAATATACTAATTACATGGGATATAATAATATACTACACTAATAATGGATTTTTTCATACTTTTCGGTTATCCGACTTTTCAATTATCCGACCAACTCCAGTCCCCAATTGGGTCGGATAATCGAGGCTCTACTGTAAGTTAATTATGATGATAGTTTATAAATAAACAATTTATTTTAAAAATTTTTTGTAAATTGTTATAAATTATTAAAATATTACAGTTATGTAAGAGCTGTTCTGATCCCTATATAGTCCAAACAAATATCCAGGAGTATCGTAAGCATGTGCTAGTGCTATAACTTCTTCTATTGTTAATTTTGAATTATCGTTTTCAGAAAGTGGCCAACCATCCAAGTTAGCTGCACTTAAAATTCCATGAATAATCTGTTTCATATCGTTAGCTGTAATTTAAGTAAAAGGATTATAAATTTTTTGTATTTAATTACTTATTCAAAATCAATGTAATACATACGTTTATTTAAACACGATTGATAATATTTCTTTAGTTTTTTGACGAATTCTGGTTCATTAAACTTTTCCGGTTTTTCCAGCTGTTCTGAATTTGCATTTGTTGTGCATGAAAATTATTATTATACTTATTAAAATTAATATGTAAATTAAAGTAACGCTTACCTTTTTTTAAATAAAGGATATAATTTTCTAAATTTGTAATTCTACGAATTTTTTCGTCGTAAATATTTTCGTATTTCAGATAAGATCCGCATGAAAATTCATAAAAATTGTCGCATGGATCGACGGTGAAGTCCATATTCTTTAGAATGGAACCAGCTGAAATTATTTAGATTAATGTAAACAAAATATATCGGATTTATTAAAATTAGATTTTATTTAATTTTATTCCATTAACCAGCAAATTAATTTTATCAGTTAAATATTTTTGGTTGTTTTTGTATTCATAACGGAATATTCGAATATTATATATATAAATAGATTTACGGCATCCAAATTTCGAATTAATTGTTGAAACATTTTACATCATGTCACAAATTTGGAACATTAAAGAGCTTTTATATTTATATTAGAAACTACAATTAGTATAAAATGCACAATAAACGCAATCATAAAATTACTAGATTTGAAAAATTTTTTTAATTTTAAAACACTGCCAACCAAATTAATTATATTTACCAACTATTCATATGTGAGGACGTCTGTTTTCGTGATTCCTGCTAGGCACAAGATAAACGTCATATTATATATTTCCATGCAAGAAGAGTAATTCGTGTCCTCAATCCTGTGAGTTGCAATGAATTTTCTCCACAATACTGTCTTCCTATGTGTTTCCTGATGTTCTAAGGATCCTCGCATTTACAAAATAGTGTATAAGATATTGTTTCGGACTGTAAAAAGAGTGGCTAATGCGGAGGAATATTTTTATTTTTCCTTGCATCTCACTCATGCACTTTAATTTTAATGGGAAAGTCGCGTGATGTATATATACCCTATCTAGCTGTTAATACAATTTTTATTGCGTATTATGAATTATATTTTATAAATCCCTGATGCAGTGGATTTATTTGGTCTACGGTAGTGCTTCTGAACCTTCCTAATTCTGCCATCTTTTTAATACAGTTCCTCATATTGTGGTGTCCCCCCAACCATAAAGTTAATTTCGTTGCTACTTCATAACAGTAATTTTGCTACTGTTATGAATCGTAATGTAAATGTTCTTTCACAGAAATTATTATTGTAATTCTTTTGTCTGGTTCAATGTCATGTTGTTCAAAGAAAAGAGATAAGGTAGGTAACGTGTAAATTTTATTTTCATCCAACTTTTTTTTTCTAGCAGTCAAATTCAAAATACACTTAGTCCAGTTGAATTTAAGAACTTAAATGTATATTGAAAATAAAACGTATGTACAGTACAGTTACAATTAAAATTCACATATAAGAATTACAAACGTTAGATGTTAACAAAGTTCAAGGTAATTATCCACTGCAACAGGTCCGTCGAAAAAGCACCTTGCGACGAACTAATTTTAAAGTTATTACAGTACAACGAGACGAGATAATCTTCCCATTCGGCTTAGGCGAAGAAAAGTCAATCGTATGGCCACATCAAGAGTCCAAAGCGAACGAAGGTCTAACGTGAGTTCACTTCCTATGTCCGAAGAAAACTAAACTTCCCGCCACCACTCAATCCTTTTATAGGATTGAAGAAGAATTGGATTCCACCAATCAGCATTTACCAGCTCTATAAGACGTCCGCCTATGGTCTGATGTCTCTTAACCAATGAGCGGTCGAGTCTTCGAAAGTGATCTGATCGCCGTTTCTATGGCGACAACGGTCGTTCATGAAAAGGCGGGAAAAGCGTGTGGCAGACGATTTTTATCCCGACACTAGCCAAAGCTGAAGTTTCATTTGGAATGATCGGGTCTTTTCAAACAAATCGAGACATGTTGTATTTGGTCCTTGCTGTGATAATTTAACTCATTCAAGATGGCAAAGATGTCAACCAAGTAAGCTATTTTCTGCAGTTCACTTTTATCGTTGAAAAGTGCTTCAAACTACGGTCTTGCTTTTGTTAAAAAATTTTTTGTGTTTATCACGAAACTCAAAAACACATTTAAAACTTTTCCTCTTGACAACCATATCACTTCAGTGTGAAATAGCAGAGCATTGTTCGGCGCATTCAACTCGTTGCACAGTTGCGAAAACGATAGACTGTTTAAAGTTCTCTCCTTTACAAAATTGACAGAACTTATGACGCTTTTCATTATTTCTTGTAACTCTTGTGGCAGCGTCTTCGTTGCTAATATTTGCCGATGAATCATACAGTGAGTTGCGATGACTTTTGTTGACTCATTTAGTAACAAATGTTGAAATCTAGATCGACATCCAAGGAGCGGTGTCTCGGTTCCTAAGACCATCAAAAATATGCTTTCCGATGGTCTTAGGCGACCCCTGTGAAAGGGTCGCTCGACTTCCAAAGGTGTCGCCAGCCACAGGTTGAGAATTGCTGGTTTAGGCGGAGTGAACCAAGAACGTTGACGGACAATCATTAATTTGAATTGGTAAAAATTCAACATTATGTAATTAAAATATTTTAATTTTAGACAAAGGTATTGTGTATGTTTGGGGAGGAAATAGTGAAGGACAACTTGGATTGACAGAGCAGTCCATATATTCAGTTCCTACAGAATTAAAATTTGAAGTTGCAGCTATTTATATTTCTGCTGGATATTATCATTCAGCAGTAATTACAGGTATATAAATTTTATTTCATTTAACAATAAAAATTAATTCTATTTGATATAAACTTTTTTTTTTTGAGAGATGAACTGTATTCAATATTCAATAAAATTCTTTCTCTACAGATATTTAATATACAATTATTTATTTAACAAAAAGTTTTGAACTTTTTACATTTAGAACAAATAAAAAGCTTGTATTAAAATGAATTCTATTTAGTCACAAATGTTAAAATATTCAGCTTTGATATTTATGGAATTTAATTAATTTAGTGGCATAAAAATTTGACAGTTTTAGTTACAATTTGGGAAATACTTTTTAAATAATCTCTTCTGATAATGATATATTTGCCTTAAAATTCTCATTTGTATTATTAAAATATTAATGAAATCATATTTATCATATCTTGTGCAATTTTTTTTTTAAATACTATTTCTAAATATGTCAAAAATTAATATGAAATTATTGTTAAACAACTTTTTATTGAACTATTTCAAATTTTTGAAGATTGTATATATAATTCTAGTTATTCTTTTAATCACCATAACAGTGTATTTCTATTAATAGGACTTATTATACTGGTGTATAAGATTACAGCAACTCAGTCACACAGATTAAAATTGTTTTATTTACAATTACCTGGACACATACAAATTGCGTTTCGGACCTGTATGTCCCTCTTCAGCAGGTATTTTACAAACAAATTCTAAATAAATAAAATTCATACAATAAGCAAACTAATTTACCAACAATATTTNCGTCAACTCCTGTGACTTACTGTCGCTCTCCCGTGACGTCGTGATTTGCACGGATTTGCCTTTCACCAGAGACTTTCGCCGAAGCTGTGCCGCACGCCCCGGGGCCGTCGATCTCAACGTACGACATCGAAGGACCAAACGGAGAAAGTCGGACCCTTGAAGGAACTTTTAATTTGCTCCCCGAGCTGTGTTACGTTGAAAATTTGAAGAACGTTGTAAGAATCTTTTGTTATATAATAAACGGGTTAAAAATGGTAAACCTGTCTCAGAAAGTCATTCTGCGCCCACACGACAGAAGGAACCGCTCGGCTGTCGAAAAACCCTCACCCTAATCGGCTGACCTCACATACAGTACAGTACAGTACGTTAAAAGTTAACTTATGATCTACTGTACACACCCACATATTTTCTCGGAATTCTTATCTTTTTATCGTATTGTGTTTTAAAATTCCTTTGTATAACAGGAAATCCTTTTATTTAACATTCCTGATGTGTTTTGTCCAGTTATCCATGAAGAGCATGTGTTTACGCACGTGTCACCTAATAGTAAAAGTATGTTTTCCCACGCACAACACTTATTTAGAAATATATCTTTTTAATAAGAGTATAGGAAAAATTACTTAGAATTTTCCTTTACTTTCTCCATAATTCTCGTCCTTATGGATTACACTAGAGACAATTGTGAAGAAATGTATACCGGCCGACTAACACTTTCTAAATATAATAATGTTCTATTATAAATAATTTGATTTTTTTTAGAAAAAATAAAATAAAATCAAGCAATCGAAAAATTACAAACATTTAAATGCTAAATAATAATCTAAGAGTGGGCCTGGCCGAACTTAAATGGGCTTGAAAAAGGCCCTCTGTCCCACAAGGGAAGAGCCAAAAATAAGGGAAAATGAAAGTTATCAAAGTGTATTTCAACAGGGTCAAAGGTGAAGAACATAAAATTAGTGGTTTGAATCTTTGATCCTTCTGAAAACGAGCGTAAGAATCAATCTTTGGTCCTCATCATTTTCAGGATTTCTTCATTTTTATGAGAGTTTTGACGTTTTTCGGGAAGAAAACATTATTTGAACATTATTCAGAAAGATATTTTAGTGAATAGTCATAACACAAATCCCCAAAAATTCCCCCTACTAAATCTAATACCCTAATGAAACCACAGAACACTGATAATTGGATGTGGGTTCGCGCCTCGCCAATGGACTAGCCACGTGGAGTTTTCCGGGTTTTCTTCACGTTAGTAACAACTAAATAGGGGCCAGTTTTCCATAAAAAATTTCTCAGGATGTATCACCCCCTCAGCAGATTGCCCATGTGTAGCATTGCAGTAATGGAATAAAACCATAAAACGAAATTTATCGCTACATTTCATTTTCACGAAAGTAGGTTTTTGTTTAGGAAGATCAGGCAGTGGCGGATTTATCGGTTTGCTCTACTTCGCAAGTGATAAGGCCCTTTAAAACAATCTGATTTTTTTATGAAAGGGTACTACTATTGGCAGGGAGAAGCAGTGGTGGATTAAGACCTGGGGGTTCCCTAGCACAAAAAATTGGACACTTCTACGGAATTTTACGGCATGGCTAACTAATAACATCTACAAAATTATTTATAAATTAAGATATACAGGCACAACGGTAAAAGTTATTCCTTCGAATTTCGGGGTCCCAAGGCATGTGCCTCGCCTGTTCACTGTATAAACCCGCACTGATGAGAAGGACCCCCAAAGCCTTAAATTCTCTATGGGAATATGTAAGGGTGCTTATCTCCCAACATTTTTAAAATTCACTATGCTTTTCGCCTCCGAAACTAGATAAACATAACCAAATGTAGAATTTAATCATGATTTGTGTGTGTAAATGCGCTTTAGTATAATAATAGGGGGATCCCCACCGCATCATCCATAATGATCAATCTCTCGAGATTCCAATCTCGAAAAAAACAAGACCAATTAAAACGTTAAAGTACGTTTAAGTTATTTCCGTTACGGATACTAATTACGAAAAGAACATTATTGTTACGTAAAAGTATCGTTAACAATAATCAATTTAATTCTTGCATGTTAACAACTAGAGAAAATTCAGCAAGAATGATATTCAAAGGGATGTTTGTTGCAGCCGCTTTTATACTAATAACTGGATACGGGTTGGGATCTTTCGTTGTCTGAAGTAAGTACATTATTATAATAATTCTGGATAGAGGAAGGTTCTGACAAATTCTCACATTTAGCTGAACCCACTTGCGCAAGACTTTTTCGAAGAGGCAGAGTCGGGGTTTTCGGATGCCTCAAGCTGAAAGTAGAAAATTATATTCAGAAAACCTTTGCTCGGAAGAGAATGGTTCCTGGCTGTCTTGCTTGATAACCTATGATTTAAGCAAGCGAGACTGTAATTTAATGAATGAATTCATGCAAGATTACTTCTCCGATGGTGAGTGATTCGATTTGTGATTTCTAAAGTTACTTCAAGCAGTTTAGTTAATTATATTTAATTACTTTTCTAGAACGTACAATTGGGCAAACTATATACGATCGTATGTGCTGTAAAACAAAATCTGAATGAGGATTACAAGCACTTTTCAAATATCTTGGCAATCTTCCCCTCGGTCCAGAAATCAACTCAATATACCATCTCAAAACACATTTCTGGACTTATATGCTCGATAATTGACGGTATATCTATTAATTAATGGTCATGCATTCTTGGGTGCAATAGCCGGAATTTTCTTGCTTATTGGAAAATTCGTTTGGAAAAAAATGGTGGTGTTGGAAGAAGTCTCAGAAAAGGAAGCGAAAGCTATATGCATATTGATCCGAATTTACAATCTTTCAAAATTCTAAATATTTTAAATATTTAATTTAATATGAACCTGGTATAGACACCGTTATATTCTGGGAATTATCAAACCCATAAACTCCAAAACTATTAGCGAATCAACAACTTTATTTTTACCCAGATGCATTCCGGAAATTACAATATTTCTCGCCCAGTTATCATTCTTTCATACAAGCCATTCGATTATCATCGATATCACTAACACTTTTTCGATACACTCACACAAGTTTTTTAATATTCAAACCGTTTTTTTCTATTTCCACAATAAAATAATTTTTCTCTTATTTTTAAAAAACATTATTCTTTAAATTCTTTAAAAAGTTAACCTAATTAAATGTTCAATTATTGCAGTATTCTTTTTTAACCATACACATTATGCAAAGTCTTGCTCGTTCTTTCACGCCACATTTATGAATCTCGTGAGTAAGATGAGAAACAACCAATGAAACTAATGACTGTAGCTGCAAGAACTGTACATAATGTGTATGGTTAAAGAAAAGAACACAGCTACTGTAATAATTGAATATAAAATTACAGTAAGACGCTGCCTCGCTTAATGCTGATTCGATATAACGCAGTCTGTTCGAAGGCTTAAAATAAAAGCTCAAAATTTAAGCCGATTTAAATTATCGCGACATTTCATTCATTCGTATATAATACGATTATTTGTGAACAAATACCAATCAGCAAAAGGTGGCAAAAAGGTTTACTTTCTTTAAATCTATGTTTGGTGCAATTCTGGAAAAAATATGACATCATGGATGCCATAGGAAATATCGACTTCGCGTTGGCAAGAATTAACCGATAAATGCACTAACGAAGTGTGAAAGAAGTTATGGCTGAAGATATCCAAGAATTCTCGACGAGAAGAGCCTATCGTTGTATCGCTAGTTGACCAAATTGTCAACCTAATCGATATAGCAGGACTAGGAGATATAGACGAGTAGGATATTGAGGAGTTACAGCAGGTTTCTGATGAGAGCCTTATCAACGACGACCTTCAAGAGCTGGCAGAACATGGAATTCGCGTGGAACTGGAAAATAGAGATTCTGAAAACGAAGAACCCAAAAGTTTCTCTGTAGATTTCCTTAGTAAAAGTTTGGTAACGATAACCGAAATTGTTGATCAAATTCTAGCGAATGATCCAGATTTTGAAAGGAGTGAAGAAGCGAAACGAGGCGTTTTGGATGCGATTTTCTGCTACCAACATTTGCTTAATAAGGAAAGAAAAAAGCGACAACTGAAATTACATGACTTTATTGCAAAAGAACAAAAATTTCAGAAAAGTCAGGACCTTCCTCACAAAAAATGAACTTTACATTTCTGTGTGCATATGTTTCTGTGTTATTCAACATATATTATTATGCAAATTAATATAAAATTAACTTAAAATTAAAGTAAAATTTGTTTATTTTGGTCGCGTGTTCCGTATCACTATTTACTATATTTTATAATGATTTCGTTTAACGCTGTTTCGCTCAGCGCTTTGTTGTCTAGGAACGTATCCCCGCGTTAAGCGGAGTCTTACTGTATTCATTTTTTAAAACTTTTGTAGCCCGAAGAGCAACTAAAACAATTTAATGTTAATCTGAAATACATTACTGAATAAAGCTTTAAAAATAGTTAATTGTCTTGGTCTCTGATCAATACCGATTACGAAAACGAACGTGTTAAATAGCTAGTCCAAGATAAAAATGAAGAAAAGTTTTACATATGTTATATTAGTTTCTATTTATAATAATTTTAGTTTTCAATATTTATTGTTGCAGACGTTACTCTTAAGAGATTAGGCAATACTTAAATAGATATCTAATACAAATATACTTTATTAATCTATAGGCTATATATAATCGAGATGGGTTGATGATAATACACTAGAACCTCGATTATCCGGACCTCTATTATCCGGATTTTCGATTATCCGGATTGTTCAAAATAAACAAAAATTTTAAGAATTTGCTGATTTGCACTTGGCGAATTACGATACTGTTTATGTACGTGATGGAATGCATAACTTTTTTTGTTTCAACGACGTCTCACCCGGCACAGTGGCCGTAAACTCTTAAATATATTTTGCGTCGTAATAAAAATATAACTTGACATACGTATTTATAGATAATTTATTTTCAAATTACTTCATTTCTATGACCAAGGGCGGCATAAAGCATGGGCAACGTGGGCCACCGCCTATGCCATCGTTTTGAAGGTTTATGCATCACTTAAAAGCCGCGAACGCGACGAAAAACGATAGTCGTCATAAAATGATAGATACTTTGTCAAATTTTGATTCATAAATATTTTATAGAATCCGTCTTCTTGCGCCACCAGAGGGCCTTTTAAACAATAGTTAGTCTGTTAGCGTTGGTCAGTAGTAGTCCAAATTCAATACGAACGTTTGTTTCTTGAAAATTTGATCACGATTTAAATACAGTATTTATTTTTAATATTACCGATATGTCATCGAAAAGAAAACGTGTTGTATTATCATTAAATGACAAATTAAAGTCTTTGTTTCGATTATCCGGATTTTTCCTTATCCGGACTACCTTCATCCCCAATTAGTCCGGATAATCGAGGTTCTACTGTAATAATAAAAAGCGCAGAGACCAAACAATTAAGAGTTGAAGGTTGAAATTTGGTACATAGTTAGGGTACGTCTTGAGAACATAAACTAAGAAAGGAATTTTCGAAATTCCCCGCGGGGGAGAGGTTATTAACGAAGGAAGTGTTAAGTAACAATGAAAGTATTAAGAGAAAGCGGCGTTCAAGATTTACAGGCGCAGATGTGGATTTTTGCGTTTTTGCGGAAAATCGAACATATTTTTAGATCCATCTAAAAATTTTCTAATTACTCTGGAAACAGGAGGACTTAAATCTTTCATTCTATGAAAATGGGTAAGATTGACAATAATGTAATAATCTTAATCTTCGCTATTGTTACTTTTTGCACAAGCATCGCCGGAATTATCTGCTAGTAAAAATATACTTTATTATACAAACGTAGAATATTACCACAAGGAAAGGGTTATCACACGCATGGAAGAATTAATTATATTTAAATCTAAAATGCATTTTGGTCTCCGGTGTTAAAGGCATTATAAGTTAGGTGAATAACTATTAAATATAAGACAAGATTATCCTAAAGAATATATTACATGACTTCACACTTAAAAAAATGATAAAATTATTAACCATCAGAATGTTTATAAACCTGTAGACTTAACACTACGGGCCGAAATGCATTTTAGGAGATATGTAAGGCATTAATTGTTTCATGTGTGTGATAACCCTTTCACTGTAATAATAATCTACGTTTGTATAATAAAGTACATTTCTATTAAATATTTTTAAAAGTGGATTAAAGGCTTATTTTTAAACTTAAATAGATGTTTCGAAATACTATACTTGCCATTTCGCTTTTCTACGCCAATAAGTAGTTTTGATTTAAATACGTTTAATACCTTGTTATTTATTTTTTGTATATTGTATTATTTATTATTTATTTTCTATATTGGAAATCTAACGATATAGGTGGCGCAATTTGGCTTGGGCGACTGTCGACTCGAAAATTAAGTAGGTGTGAAAAATGCAACTACAAACTATTAAAAAGTGACATTCTAACTTGCTCCCAGTGTCTAGTCAGCTCCATCAGCTCCAATTTTGATTGCTTCGGTGTAGTTTGTACAAACTTTTTAAAATTGAACAAAACGTCTAAGGGAAACTGGAATTGCTCAAGCTGCAAGACGGGAAAATGTCAAAGAGATAAGGTAGTTCTGGAAGAGAACTTGGTGGAAATAACAGATTAAAATAACTCGGGTGAGTCTAACAATTCTAATTTGAACCTAGAGAACGTCAAAATCCTTCGGCAGACCTCTTACACTTCAATGACACTCAACTTCATTGTATAAGAGAATTTCGATAAAATATTTACAGAACTGAAGACAATATACAAAAAAGTGGAAAATACTAATAAAACAAATAGCGAATTTCAAAAATCTATTGCTTTGCTTTCGGAAAGTTTCGATAATTTAGTGACAGGAATAACGACCTTAGAAAATAATAATAGTACTTTTCGGGGAAATATTTTCGATTTCAACCAAGAAATTGCCAATATAAAATGGGAACTACTAATTTCTCAGTATAAAATAAACTTGGAGCAAATATCATATAATTCTATGATAGATATCGCCACTACAAAGCAAAAATTAATAATATTATCAAGGAAAAGAAATTGCGCACCACTACAAACAATTGAGTTGTAGTAAACGAACACTTTCACCTTATAATAGAAATCTCTTCTATAGAACTAGACTGTTGTAAAAGGAAAGAAATAATAAATACATGGACTAGTGGAGGTAATATATACATAAAAAAAAGACATTAATTCTCAATTCGCATACAATCTTTACAACAAATTATCAGCTTATACCCATGATGGAAGAACTTCTACAACATAACAAGATAACAGATTTTACAGAAAATTGGATGTACGTTTTTAATGCAATGTCAGAAGCTTAAACAGTAAATTTTCAGAATTGGTGAACACTATTCAAGACTATAACTGTAATTTCGGCATAATAGCGCTGACTGAAACCTGGATAAATGAAAGCAACCCTCCACCAAAGATGAACGATAATATACCAATATACCAACGATCATATTAATATGCAAAAATAAAGGGTCTAAAAGCGACATAGAAAATTACCGTCCGCTTATCATCATCCCCGTGCCAGTAAAACTCGCCCCCAGTAAAACTCGCTTATCATCATCCCCCGTGCCAGTAAATAGAGAAAAACTCTGGAAATACTTTGCCAATCTAAACGTGATTCATTGTCATCAATATGCTTACAGACAAAACTTCTCCACAATAGACGCATTATTACATTTCAAACAGGATGTTAACGAATAAATTAGACAAATCATGTTCAGTAATTGCCTAATTTCTAGAATTATCAAAAGCTTTTGACAGCGTGGACCTCCGGATTCTCGAGAAAAAAACTTTTTAATACTTGCTTAAGAGGAGTGCCTCTACAATGGTTAATCCGTATCTTTTAAAACGAAGATATCAAATAAAAGTAAACAGTGAGTATTGAAAAATCTTCTCACCTAAAACCAAAATCCCCAAGGATACTTGCAACGTTACTCTTTAATATCTACTTGAATGACCTATTTGAAATGATAGCAAAAGCGAAAGTAATAGCATATACACGATATTGTTCTAATTATACACGGGTTCCCAACCTATGGGTCGCGACCCAGAAGGGGGTCGCGACGGGTTTTCTGTGGGGTCGCCAACTTATGCAGTAGACTAAAACAAAATTTTCACTATAATGCAATATTTATTTTTAATGGTGTCTTAAAGTTTGAATAATTTCATATATTTTTAAAAAATTAAATTAAGTGTAATCTGGGTACACTATTCTGTCACAGTTGGTTGAATCATGTGTTGAGAGTTTTGAGAGGAATAAATTAAATGTTGAGAATGACATGAGGTTGGCGTTAACAAAATCTCACCCGCGAATTTTGAGGCTGGTTAATAATACATGCAATTTCAGCCATCTCATTAAATTAATTATTAAACATAATTTAAAATAAAATTATACTAAAAAACTAATTTCATTGTTTTTTAATTACCTTATTAAAAATACCTTTATCAATTGTATCGGGGTCGCGGGTCACTTGGCTTTTATAAAAGGGGTGTCGCCACCCGAAAAAGGTTGGGAACCGTTGTTCTAATACATTCCAATTATGACCCCCAAGCAGCGCAACATGAATTAAACAACATCCTCTGCAAACTGATTATAACTGTAAGCTCAAATATGTTAAAACTAAACTTGAACAAAACAAAATATCTGTACTTTGTAAATAAAAATAAAATTGTGACAAGGAACAACTTCAAATGGTAATAAATGACAAGAGGATAGAAAGAATTAACCGCATAAAATAGCCCGGTGTTTTGATAGATGATAAACTCAGATACACAGACATCGAAAATTTAACAAAAACTGTCGCTATGTTTACTGGCATAATCAAAAAATACAGCATTTCCTAAGCATATATACGATAAAACGACTATATCACATCTGTACAGAACCGAAAATTCAATACGGTATAACTGTATGAGGAACTACATTCGATTACCTATATCGCTAACCGTCTGCAAACACACCAAAATCACCTAATGAGAACCATTTTCAAATTAAACTACTACGAATCAACTTCCAGTTGTTATCAACAAGAAAAATCGACAACATTATACGCAAAGCGAATTATACTTCTTTCCTTTAAATTTATAAAGCTTAAAACACATAACAATTATCTTCTAAACATTATAGAAAATCATAGCAGAAAGGAAAACTGCCATCATCTAAATTCTTAAAATCCTCAACAAAACTTTCAATTGCACAAACTGCCCCAGTCTTTCAAACGAAAAAATATTGGAACTTGTTATAAAGAAATTTTCAAGAAATAAGTAACAACAAGAAATTTAACTCAGAAAAAACCCTCTCAGTTAGATCTTCAAAGCGAGAACGTTCTAACCGAAAAAACCAACGATTCTGCAGATCAAAAACTTTTTCATGCATACTTAATATCTAAACATAATAGTTGATATACTGTACACTAAAAAGAAAGAAAGGAAGAAGGGAAAGTAAATTTTCCGAAGGGGTTTTGGCTGCAACGGACAACTTATGCCTTTTCTGTTTTAATGCAGGAAATTTCTTTCTTCGTTGTTTTATGTTTTTTTTTAAAATTTTTCTGGTGATTTTTGTGTTTCTGTTGTTTGTTTATATTGTATTTTTGTGGCACTTGCAAAAGGCCAAATGGCCACAGTGTCTTCTAAAATTAAAAAGGTTATATCCACATAAAATTTTAACAATTCGCTGCATAATAGTTTATTTATTTATTTATTGGAAAAGCGAGACGTCAAATATTTCCAACCACCTACAACCAATATTGAATTATGAGAGTTGTATCTACATCGTGTAGGCTACATATTATTATTATTATCTTCACATTAAAACAGAGACATTACTTCCGAACAGAGGTTAATAACTATAAATCTATCAACAATTTCTAAAATGAAACTACGAAAAATTAGATGCGGGAATCTTCGAATCCACACAAAATAACAATAATACTTCTTGCTTATTATTAGAAGAATCTTATCATTTTGTCTGGTGCAATATGTTATGAAACTTTTTCCTTAAAAAATTTATATAATATTAATTTAGTAATTAAATAAAAATATACGTTCAAAGTTCGCAATAGTAGCAGAAAAGATCACGAAATAATAGTCTATAATGAAAAATAAGTCTCACCTGAAAATTTGCATATGTTATTTAAGCAAACTTCTTTCTTTGGTTTTTGAGATTTATCTATAAGTGATAAATAGTTTTAATAAATTTATATGTAAAGAAAATATTGTAAATTGAAAATAATATTAAAACGTATTTGAATTGCAATTATTTGATTTTCGTCCTATTTTTAAATTAATCTTTTTAATAGCTATTTTTGAATTCAAAAATAGCTTTTAAGAAGATTAATGTATTTGAAATTTAATACAGACGGTATTTTGCAAAATACAAACTTTCTAACTCTGATACAATTGAATTCTAGATAAAAACTACACAGGGACGAGTTGTTTAACTTTTCCGGTAACATTTAAAAATTGCATTATGGTATTGGCCTAATATTATTTAATTAAATTTTCATTGAAATAAATCATNATTATTTAATAATTAATTAATAATAAGTTCTATAAGTCTAAACCAATGTCTTTTACATGAATTAAATTATTTCATTTTAAAGCTTAAAAAAGATATAATTTGATCATTAATTTTTGTTACTTATAATTACAGTGAAACCAATGATTGATCGCACTAATTTAGTTCCAATTGTTGTAAAAGTTGGACGATCACATAAATATGAAGTTGATGTTAGAGGTGAACCTCCACCAACTATTACTTGGACATTTGGTGAAATAAAACTTTCAAATGATGACTTTATTAAAATTGAAAACAAAGATTATCATACTGATTTTAGCATTAATAAAGCAACAAGAAAACATTCTGGGAGATATACAATTTCTGCATCAAATGCATCTGGTAAAGACAGTGCACAAGTTGAGTTTACAGTATTAGGTATGTATTATAAATTAAATTCTTATCATTTATGTAATCACAAATTAATTACCAATTATTCTGCAAATAAAGAATGAAACATACTAGTTTTAAATTTAAAAAATATATAAATAATTTATCAGAATTTAAAATTTAAATTATTATTCATAATAATTAATTAATTTTTATCACAAAAACATTATTGTACATTTTATACATATATGGAATAATTCCAATATCTATCATTGCATTTATCTAAGATAATGGGATAATGAAAAGCATTAAAGATATGATATCATTTACCTGTTTTGATTCTTGAATTGACTTAGTATATATTGGTCTTTACAGAAAGTTGTGACAATTGTCATTATATTACACAAGCCTACAAAAAAAATTTTTTTCTTGGTGCCTGGGATTTTAGAACTGATTTTAGCCATATTTGGGTCACTGAATCCAAATATGAAATCAGTTTTTCTCTATCGACTCTACTTTTTTAGATCTGTTTTTTTTTAACGTACAGTGCTACATGAAATGTGCAACTCGAATTTGAGTTTGTACAGTTCTAAATCACATATGCAAGAATTGATTCCTGTATATTTTGTTAATCTGCCCTCCAGTTAATTTTAGGTAAATCCACCAAATGAAGTAAGCATTCGGTAACGAATTGACGTTCAATGCTTCAACTAGAGTTGAGGTAAGTTTGTAAGTTCTAACCGTGCATTGTCTAGATCAGTGTTTCCCAACCTTTTTTGTGCTATGCCCCACCCAATCCTTTCTAAAATTCTTATGCCTCAGTTAAGTATAGAAAAAATTAAAGCAGGAATATTTGATGGCCCACAAATAAGACAACTCATTAACGATCTTGCCTTCGTAAATTCGATGAATGAAGCTGAGCGAAAAGCCTGGACTACATTTGTTGCAGTTGTCAGAAATTTTCTAGGCAAACGCAAAGCTGAAAATTATGTTGAACTGGTAAACGAGATACTTAACAGTTTCAAATCCCTTGGGTGTAATATGAGTATTAAGATGCACTATTTACACAGTCACTTAGATCATTTTCCTGAAAATTTAGGAGACACCAGTGAAGAACAAGGTGAAAGATTTCACCAGGATATTAAAACTATGGAGGACCGTTACCAAGGAAAATGGATACGCATATGATGGCAGATTACAGCTGAAGTTTAAAAAGGAATTGCTCCAAAATACATTCACGGAAGTCACGGAAAACAAGCTTCCTAAATGTGTAACTGTTTATTCTTTCAGTCACCAGAACAGTGTATTTCTATTAATAGGAATTATCATACTGGTGTATAAGATTACAGCAACACAGTCACACAGATTAAAATTGTTTTATTTACAATTACAGGCAATTGTAAATAAAACAATTTTAATCTGTGTGACTGTGTTGCTGTAATCTTATACACCAGTATGATAATTCCTATTAATAGAAATACACTGTTGTGGTGATTGAAAGAATAATTTGTTTAAATTAAAGACATTGATGCATATGTAACTGTTTAGTTTTATTGATGACTTTTTCCTCTATCTTTGTATACAATAATATTTGCATAATATAATAATAAAAATTCCGTGTTTAGTTTTTTTACTTGATCTATGGATATAACTTAAGATATTGAAACGTATATTTCGCTATAATGCTATATCTTAAAAATCAGAGCTCCTAGGCAAAAACTAATGCCATATTTGAATTCAGGACATCAAATTCATATGAAATCAGCTCAAAATACCTGGGCACCAAAACCACTGTTGACCTGTGTAATATATATACTAACATAATGTTTTCTGATATATTAACATTTTATACTCGCATTAGCAAATACATATGTACAATAAATAATTTAATTTTTAAAACTTGTTTTATAGATCTATTCACTGGTAAGGATCAAGAGCTATAGTTGTGACACGCAAAAACGAAGGCTTAATCGTCTTGAAATCATATCGATGAAGAATACCAATTAAATATCATTATAAATACAGTACACAATTTAATTTTTAAATTTTTTTAAAGATGGAACATTATGAAAGGCATAATGTTCCATCTTTAAAAAAAAATTAAAAATAAAATTGTGTATTTATCATGATATTTAATTGGTATTCTTCGTCGATGGTATTACAATTTTCCTTTGTTTTAGTACATGAACGTTTACTAATAAACATCCAACTCCAACTCTTCATTATGATTTGTTAATATGTACAAAAAACTTTCTAATTGCAATAATCATATATAAAAAGGAAAAAAGTAACTATATCTTTTTATTTGTTTGTTTTTTATTTTTACTTACTTTGAAAATGTAATAAAACACCAACCATGACAAGAAAAGAAATAAAAATGACAAGAGATACCAAAATAAGGTAACGTTCTAACAATGTCCTGTTGTTCCAAATGATGCATTTTCTGCAAAAAATAAATTATTTTAAAATTTAACACCAAATATAGACTATATGTCGTAAATGTATTTCAAAAAATTATGAAACATTATTAAAAATAAGTTGACGTTTTAAAAAGTGTTGTATATGTAAAACATCAAACCGAAGCCTTGCATAAACAACAGTGCAACCACAAGTATTTTCTAGTTTCGGTTTCTTAAATCAATAGTTTTTAAAATAACATAATTATATAGTTTGTTTTGAAGAATGTAAAGAAGACTTTTATATACAACAAAAATTTCGAGTTGTTACTTATATGTAAAAGAATATCTAAATACTTTAATATTAGAAAACTAGAAATTCTCTCATCAACACGACAGAACTCTTTTTATGAGAAAGTAGAGATTAAAGAATTGTACTGAGTACAGTATTGTACGAGTACAGATTTCAAGAAATTCAAGAAGAGTTACTGATATTTCTATAAATTAAGGCCCTTGGCAAATCATTCTTACTCAATGTTGCTGAGTCTGACCTCGGTCTTTGGAATTTGCCTCACCGATTTTATTTTTATGCCTTCCCTTCCCTTAGGCAGGTATTTTCAGACAAAATAGTGAGTCTTTTTAATTCCACATTCACGAAACAAAGATTAATTGTATTTACGTTAGTTAGATCAGCGACAACACTAAATAACAGGCTCGTTACATTGTTTCTTTCGATTGGATAATAGATCGTCACGTGGTCACTATGAAAATAATTTTTAAAAAGTTTGTTATAGAAGTGACACAATACGACTATCTACTTATAAAGTTTAAATTTAAGGAAGTAAGTTTAAAATACGCCATTTGCCAAAATATTTTTAAATGCAACTTAATGGAGATTCCGTCCTCAAGCAAGAACAAAATAAGGTCACTGACAACGTAAGTGCGATCATCGATCTAAAACTGATAAAAACTTTACTCTATAGCTAATATTTCCGCAAAATAAGTAGCCTATACTTTCCGTCAGAACACAAATATAGCCAATATTTCATGTGGATTGGACAAAAATTGCAGCAGTTATTAGGAATTCATACTACACACAGAGACGGCGGTTTTTATNATATGTAAAAGAATGTCTAAATACTTTAATATTAGAAAACTAGAAATTCTCTTATCAACATGACAGAATACTTTTTATGAGAAAGTAGAGATTGAAGAATTGAGACAAGTACAGATTTCAAGAAATTCCAGAAGAGTTACTGATATTTCTATAAATTAAGGCCTTTGGAAAATTATTCTTACTCAATGCTACTAAAGTCTTACTTCGAGTCTCTAGAATTTGCCTGATCGATTTTATTTTTCGCCTTCCCTTAAGCAGATATATTTAGACAAAATAGTGAGTTTTTTAATTCCACATTCACGAAACACAGATTAATTGTATTTACGTTACTTAGATGATTGACAACACTAAATAACAGGCTCGTTACATTGTTACTTTCGATTGAATAACAGAATGTCACGTGGTCAATATGAAAATCTTTTTTAAAAAGTTTGTTATAGAAGTGAAACGATGCGGCTATCCATTTTTAAAGTTTAAAATTAATGAAGTAAGTTTGAAATACGCCATTTGCCAAAATATTTTAAAATGAAACTTAGTGGAAATTCCGTCCTCAAGCACGAACTAAATGAGGTCACTGACAACGTAAGTGCGATCACCGAACTAAAACTGATAAAAACTTTATTCTATAGCTAATATTTCCGCAAAATAAGTAGCATATACTTTCCGTCAGAACATAAAAACAAATAAAACCAACATTTCATGTGGATTGGACAAAAATTGCAGCAGTTATAAGGAATTCATACTACACACGCAGACAGAGGCTTTTATATTATTAAATAACAAATGTAATAAAATTAAGATACGTTAGCGAAAGCCAGGAAAAGATAAAAGTTGTTGATAAACAAGTTTTCAAGCTTCTTTTTTTCTTGTATAAAGTCTGAAGAGTAAACTTCTATCTTTAGTCGCGAATGATTTATTATTATTTCCGCTGTGTTTTTCTGTTATTCAGAGAAATTTTTACGCCTCCTTTTTATTTTCTGCTATCATTTGTTAAGCGCATGGATATTTTCGGGGGGTGGTCTTTCGGGATATGTCGGCCCTGCCGGCAATCTTGTTGGGGGCCTAGCCTGGCGGAACCCATAATAGGCATGCTAAAAAAGAGGCATTCAGCGTTAAAAAAGCCCGTGGATATACAATGACGTTTCATTATTAATTTAGCGCTCAAATACAATGTGAGCGTTACGTTATACAAATTAATAATGAAGATGAGATGAAGAACAAAAGTACCTTCCGTTCCATTTCTTCCTGTTGGATGTCATCAAACATTTATATTTTAGGATTTACATATAAATTTACAGTACCAATTAAAATTAACGTTTAATAAAGAACAGTTAATTTGATTTTTAGAATAAACTAAGATAAAACTCAAAGCTAGTTTGATTGCTAAATTTTACTGCAACCCAACGGACGATATGCCTAGGGGAAATGCCTTCCGGAAGTACTTTTTAAGGGTAACTGCTCTTATTCGGGAGTTTTAGACGTGGAGGAAATCTGAAAAACTCCACGTGGTTAGAACATCCTGGCAAGATGCGAACCCACGACCGAATTCCCAGTGTTCAGAGAACGGAACCGCTTGACCGCTGTTGGGCCCAATTTAAAAATATTTAATAATGACAACATCAATAGCGCATCACTAGTCAAATTGCTTTCTTTACTATTATTAATTATCTTAATACAAACCTATAAAAATGTGGCAGATCGTTTGGTATTACTAATGTATCGTGTTATGTATGTATATATTCTGTATATATATTTTTATTCAATTGTACTCATAAAGTGTTGACCACAAGGCTTTCGAAATAAACAAGACACCAACTATTTAATTACGGCTCATATTAAACAAGAGTCACTTTTTTAATTACGTTCCATAACAATCCATCTTTTCACCAGACAGTGATAAACATTTGATAGTTGATAAGAGAATAATATTAGAATTTAGATTTGGGTATTAGATGATAAATGTTAAGATATTCTTGCTATCGATAAATTCATTTTCTTCGCCATTTTCTATGCTCTATCTTAAAATTACATTTTCTATTTTTTTTTTATTTCTATCATTGTACAAAAACGAAAATAGACTTATTCAAAAATATTAAATCTTAACATTTATCAGCTATATTCTCAAAAGATTAAGTATGAAATTTGCGTAATTTTTTCATATAACACTCAAACATAAAAAGTGTGTAAAACCACAAAATAGAGATGAGTAATAGTATATATGTATATGAAATTATAATTCGTAAGTTACAGGAGTAGTATATCATAAAGCATTTTTCACTAATTTAAATATTATAAATTATTTTCATAAATCTTTTATTACATTGATGCATCCGGAAAGTGTTGAGGTTGATCATTTAAATAATGTTAGGCCCTTCAATCTACGCTCTTAAACATGATTACGATCGCATTATATTTTTATTCCTGGTCGAATGTCATCGTTCTCCTATCTTTGCTCTCATTCAGTTTGAACTTTCACGTCGGCACTTCTTCAAAATCAATTGCGAATCGGGCACTTTGCGGGATTTACGCACAAACTGGTTTCGAGGCCTCCTTGTTCTAAATATTAAGTAATGCTATCAAATCAATTTACTACTTAATTTAAAAAATCAAGCAACGAGTTACGTAACTTTCCGAACAAAAAATTTAAAATTGTGCGAGGCTATCAGTTATGAGATTTTATTTTATATTTTTATAATTGAAATAAAAAAATTTATTTTTATTTTAATTATCAAAAAATTTATATTATTAATTATTATAAAATGGCAACACGCTTAATTTTGAGGCAGAAGAAAGTTTTATAAAAAATAAAATAATAATAATAATTGTAAATGATAATAACGAGTAAAATCATTAGTCTGACTTTCACTCGAAATATGATAGATGACCTTCTGTCTCCAACGCCCTTGACTCTAAAATTTAATAATATTAATGCTCCTAATATACAAACCTTCCTGAAAAATTTTAAAAATTTTCGACAGTCACAAGAGTTATTAAGGTTCAATTGGGAAAACAAAATTGTGCCCCCCAAATATCGAAAAATACCAACTGTTTTTTTTTTTAATTTTTCGACATTTCAAGATTCCTCTAAGTCTAAAAAAAGTAAAAATCTTTATGTAGTCATTGTTTTACCAATTGCCACACTTTCCCTCTGTTATATAGCCTACAACATCTTTAAAAGTGGTTAATTAGTGATTAATTAATTTTAATATTCGATGGTATGATTCTAATGATCGACTAAATTGCAGTAGATTTTGTTGTTTTTAATAGGCTTGTTCTGTTGATTGTAACAACCAGTAATGACAATAAAATAATGCTTATTGTATATAATGTAAACGATAATATAATATATGAATACTTACGTTACAACGTTTCTTTTACAAAAAGAAACGAAATTAAAACACCAACCATACCGAACGCAAGTAGTGAAGAACTTTTTCATTTGTTCTAAACTTTGAAAGAAATCATCTGCGCTTATGTGAATAGATAGTAGGCCTATATGTTACCGCTAAAGCTCGAAATCCGTTAATCTACAGATTACCTAGCTAATCTGCATATTAACTAGGATGATCCGTTAAAGTTTCTAAAATTGTTCTATTTCTCAAATTACTTAGATAATGTGCAGATTATCTAGGTAATCTGCAAATTACCTACTAGACACTCGGTAAAGTGAAAATAAGATCTTTGCTGGAATAACAGCAACGTTTCTGCACGTTTAAATTAACATAATGTTCTTTAATTTAATTTTCGATATCTAAAGAATCAAGTTAATACAATCAAACAATCGACAAATTACTTGATAGAATCAATCATCAACCAATTAAAAAACATACAAAAAATCAAACGGTTTAAAATATTAATACAATTAGGGAATTTATTATATAGATAACCACCTATGGAATTTCGGGACTTGAGTATCTATCTGAACGGAGGGAACCGAGACGACTTCAATGATACCCTACTTTTGGACCGGAGACGAAAAATAATAAAGTTATCATACTTTTTCTGGTGAGCGCATGATATAATTGTGCAGTTAATGTTACCTATGGTGAGTAAAATGGCGGCTCGTCTCTGATTCCAGCAAACAGAAGAAAGTAAACAGTGGGGACGCACGTTCTAACCTAACCTAACCTATTCTAATAAATTACCATAATTATTACCAACCAAATTATTAGAATAGGTTAGGTTAGGTTAGGTTATGTTTGAACGTGCGTCCCCACTGTTTCTTTTCTTTTCTTTGCTGGAATCAGGGACGAGCCGCCATTTTACTCACCATAGGTAACATTATCCAATTGTGCTTACTTATTAGTGCAGTCTAAAGATTGGTGACGCTTTGAATTTCATAGCAATTGGTTTCTGCGACAAGTACACCTATTTGTGGCACATTTATTTGTGGCAAAGATCTTATTTTCACTTTACCGAGTGCCTAGTAGGTAATGTGCGGATTACCTAGATAATCTGTAAATTACCTAGGTAATTTGAGAAATGGAACAATTTTTACAACTTTAACGGATCACCCTAGTTAATCTGCAGATTAGCTAGGTAATCTGCAGATTAACGGATTTCGAGATTTAGCGGTAACATTTACATATCTACTATTATCCTACAAATTTGTGCGCTTATTACCCACGTAAGCGCACAAAGGATTTTAAATATTACTGTACTTATTACTGTACTTAAGATATTTTCTAACAGTCGAAAAAAAACTTTGTCTGCTATTAAATAGTAAAAACTTTCACTACACTATTTACAGCAAATTGTCTTGAAGAAATGACATCTGTGCCTAAGGTTCGCAGAATTCATTTCTTTTTCAAGCTCCTAACTTTCGAAAGCTCCAAGCACACGCTTTTTAAGCCTGTGTGATAATCTGCCACGATTCAAAATGTTCTTGTTAAGTATGGTACTGTACATCGTTTGTTATGAAATTATGTGCATAATTTCAAAACAATTGCTATACCGTACTTAACAAGAAAATTTTTAGTTTATAGAAAAGACAATCTTTTAGATTTACAATTAAACTTGTCATCGTTTTAATTTTGCATAATAAATCTTAGAGAATTAAGTTAATTAACAAATTTATTCAAAAAGTTTTGTTTTTATTCTTTCGTTAAAAACTGCACTAAAGTTACATAATTAGCTTATTTAACAGTTTTTATTCAAATACCTAAATAATTAATTATGTAAACCATTTTACTAATAAAATTGATATGACTAAGCTACAAGGCTATAACCTCGCATAGAATTGTTAGTAATTATTTAATTAAGACGTTATTTGACCTAGTATCTTTCTTATTTTATTCATCTTCCTACTTGAGAATATTTTAAATTTCTTCTATACAATTTTGATAGTTATAAAAAATCTTTACGGTATTTTCTAAATGTAAAAAAAAGTCAGTTTAAATTGTAACCTTCTCTTTTTGAACCACATTGTTTTCTTTTAAACTATATTGTTTAATAACTGTATTGAAGTTATTTTGCTACTGTTTGTTAGTTCTTTATAAATTTCAACACGGTTTGAACGAATGCAATGAAAATTTACAGGTAATATCCTTTATCCATCAGGAGGACGACAGCTTATTTCGCTCGAATTAACTTCAACCACAGGCTCACAACAGACTTTTTTTCCTATATTACCAGCAGGATGATGGCGTTCAAATAGTAAAGTTATTTAATACAAAGTAATCAGCGTGCACGAAATATACTTTTAAAGTTTTGGATGGTGTCAAGTTTAAATATATAGCCTTGTTTCGAGAAATTTCATTGACTGCCCTATTACCGTTTCATATTCGGCTATCAATGGGGCGTTAGAGTTAACATTAAAAAAACTTTGGATGTCTTGACTTACCTTCTGGTAATATATAAAACGCTATTAATTGTTAAATATTTATGTATTTTTTATAATCAAAAATATAAATAGAAAATATATGTGATAGAATATTTACATGTTATCTGTTCTCTATACACGTCTAAACGTTTTGATCTATCTGTACCAAGTATTTCGTACATAACTGTATTACCTGTGGAAAATATAAACTACTTTGAAGCAACATTCCACTCCCACGACACTTCTGAATAAAAATAATGGCGAACTAAAATAACCGAACTCTTAATATGATTTTTTTGTCTTTTTTTTACTTGTTATGTATAAAATAAGTTATGCATACAATTATGATAATAAATAATAAAGTTGTATAATTGATTATTAAATTAATTTTAATTCAATATTTTACGAAATCCGTATAAAAATATTATTTTTTAAGCCAAAACGTTAATTATTACATATAATTTATTAAAAACCTACGATAATTAAATTTAAATTATTTTATACTAAAATCTGTATTGTTTATAAAATGAAAAAGTAAACTGATAATTCTTATCATTAAAGTTTCTCAACTTCTCTAATATCGCGACCTCTTAAACTGATTGACAAATTTGTGTAATTGCTCATAGAATAAATTAGTGAATTCTAGAAAAGTAATTAATGATAATATTTAATTTATGCGGGCCTTAATACTTTTAAAACTTTTAATCTACAAATCTTCTAAGATAATTATAAAACCACAAATACTTGTAATTGCAGAACTGTTTAATTAGAGGAATAGCGTGATAATACTTGATAACACTTTTTGATAGGCCTGACCCATTACGCAAAAATATCTTCAACGCAACTGTTTTAAAATATAGTTTGTTTGTATAGATGAATAATGAATTTTTATATATATGAAATGATACTTTTAACGATAATCATAAGATTTTAAAACTATGAATCATGATCCAGTTTCAGAACTTTAGAATATCTTTAAAATTCCATTTCATTTAAATATATGTTTTAAACTTATATCTACAAACAGTTAATAATTAATGTGATAAATTGCTAATACTATATTTAAACAACACAAATGTGTTAACTTCTTTCTTTAAAAATACTTATATGAATAGTTTGGATAATTTTTTTTTAAACTTTACACTATACAAGAAAGAGACAAGTATGTTTATTTACTCTATATTTAATTTATTTAAATTTACAATTTTAACTATGATACATCTTTCTTTGGAACATAAATTTTTAATGTCTAATCTCTTTAAAAATGTAACAGAAAAATATTACTCACTTTTCCTCAAGCGGTTTTTTCTCTGATTTTGAATTTTCCATATTTTCTTTAACTGATTTAAACACTGTTTTAATTTTAGCAAATTTTTAAGTTTATAAATTGTAGGCCTTTGCAACGATAGTATTTTCATTGCATCTTTATCACAACTAAGAACATCACCATATCAATTACAACGTCCTTGGACGTATCAAAAGCTATTCATAAACTTCCTTCCGTGGGTGTTGTTAATTAATATTTATATTGTGTTATATATATTTTTTCCACTAGGTTTGTAATGTATTGTTAATTCAGTTACGAAAATTTAGCGAGAAACTAATAATAAAATATTTTTGAAGTTTCTTTGAAAGCCATTTATTATTGTTTTTTATTTCTTAATTATTGATATATATAATAATTTTAAAATTATTTCAAATAAATTTTTAAAGATTTGAAATTAATACATTTTTAGTCTTTTATCGGTAAGAACTTGTGTGNTGTTTATCAGAATAACGATGAGATTTTATTAAACCAAAGAATGCTAAAACAATATTAATTTAACAAAGCAGACAGTTAGCGAAGTATCTTCTATATGGCTTAGAAATTTGTTCTTTTTTTAATTTAATCGATTCAATTTGATAAAACTCTGCTATTTTTAATGTCACTTTGACCCAATCGTATCTCGAAAGCGAAGTTATAGACCGATGTTTTTTATTACAGTTTTGGATTCCTCATGTCAATTAATTCCGTTAAGGACGATCAATTACGTCAAAGTGACAATGTTTACTGTAACGTCATTGATCGTCCCTAACAAAATTTATGAACAAAAATAAATATCCCCATTGCCTGCACCTAACATAATATTTTTGCGAAAAACCGACAAAATACGTGAACAAAGCAATCGGCGTCAATTGCTTTCTTCTTGAATCGCCTCTCCGTGAGAGCGTGTAAAGATAGAATTTTTCGTATATAGGAAAAAAATCATTTATCTTCATTATAAGTAGTTAAAATTATTGTTTTTAATATGTAACAAGATAAATTTATATAACTATCAATATATTAAACATCTTTAATATGAAACACACAAAAATTATCGTCGTTTAAAATGTAAACATTAAAAACTACGATGCTATAAATTTCATTTGTATGAAATACTCTTTGTATGTCAAAATAAATTTTCTAAAAATGTGTGTGTTAATAAGCTACAAAAAAAGTATGTGGATATGTCTTTTAAGTAATGTCTTCCGTGTTGTAATTTTCTCACGTGTTTCATTGCTTTTTCATCCATTTCAAAAGAAAAAAAATTGCATCTAATAGCAAAATTATGTACATTGCATTGCATTGCATTGCATTGTACATGACAGAATAAAAAATAAACCAAGCTTTTAATATAACTTTTATCATGTTGATAGCAGTGACTGAATGTAAATGCAGTCCATGGAAGCTGTGGAAGCGCCGCTTCCTTTGTATTTTCTAAAACATAAATACATATTGTACTATTAACAATTAATGTTGGGTCGGTAAGGTATGTTAATCTTAGAACAAGAATGTTTCAATTAATTCGAAATTATAGTTACGTATTATATTGTATAGTGCAGCCTAAATTTGCTGCATAATCATAATTATAAAATTGTTAAACTTTGACAAAAAATCAGTAAATTAAAAATAAAAATGAATTTCTTATAAAAATATTTATTCATTCACATGATATTCTCTATCGATGGGTTTCCAGGTGATAGACAATTTTTCACTTGTTGTTTCTGTCGTGAGCGGTCTCTGTCAATGTTCTGTTGGTCTAGTCCCTAATATTATGTGACCAATCGGTCGGCACCTCTTCGATGCCCTGTCAGGATGACACCACCGCGTCTCGTTTTACACGGAAGCCGCGCTAACTAGGTCACGCGAGCGGTCGCGTAAAGGAGCGATCAGATTCGGGATAGAGGGAGAGGCAGCGCAGCGGAAGTGACTTACTCAAAGACGGGTTGACGTAACAACTGTTTAATGGTTAACGATAGGCCATACAACATTTCCATTTTAAATATGCTAGCTTTTAGATACATTTCTACGATTGGTAGATATTAGATATATATCTGATATTACGTTTTTTTTTTTCGATTCCAGAGAGAGAGTTTACAGAAGTTGCGCGTGGCGATAAATACCTTTTTTTGATATTTTGATTGAGATTCTCGGACGTTCTTTCTGAAAGAGAGGAAGTTCGGGATGTATAGATACAATGTGATATTATAACGTAATGATATAAATATACTGAAAGTCTGGATTCGGATCCTCACAATTATCTTCCATTGAAGCCTTCTTGTTTCATATGGGTCTTCTTGTTTTCCTGTTTTCCTTAAACTTCTTCTGGAACACTATCTTTATTAAATTTTCCGAAGACGTACGATGTGTTCATTTTGAGATCCTTTCCATGTTGAGATTCTTTGCATTGAAACCTTTGTACAAAGTTTTTAACCTTAAACTTCTCCAGAATTTGTTCATTTTTATCTTTGTCAGTCTGTTTGATACTTCTGAACCTTTTGTACCATAGCATTTCAAAAGAACTAATGTTATTCATTACATGCATGTCGTAAATTCTTGACTATAGATACTGACATATAGCCAATAATGTTTTAAACGAAAATATACATATTGACAGTAAACGAACACGATAAAAAACTTTTTATTACATTTATCTTGAATTTTGCATAACATTTGACAACATTATTAACCTAGTTATGACATTTAAATTACTATTATAATAGTAATTTTCTTAAATTGAAGACAAAACTGTTCACAAAGGATTACCATTTATTATTTTTTGTGTTCCAAGACTAACACATTGTCGGCGACTGACCCTTCTTTGTAGGCTACTTGTCTGGAAAACTGGGAACATGAAAGACTGTTCCCTTAACACAGGGGTGGCCAACCTTCTGCATACAATGCGCCAATTTTCTGACAGACGAGTTCAGATGCGCCATATAAATCGAACACTTTTTATACAGTCTTACGTTCAATGTTAGGGGTTGATAAATAGAGATAAGAATATATCTGCTTCGCTTAGGAGAGAAAAGGGAGTAACTTAATCACGCAGTTGAATTAATTAATTTATGACAGTTTATTGAAGCACCAATTTACAATAGTCACCAATAATCTCCTGTATGAGAGGGTGATTGCTTGATGATGGTGCTATAGCTGCCAGAGTCTCGTTTGGTGAAGATTACTCTGCACCACAATTATTGGCACTGAAAATCAGCTTGGAATAACTTTAATCACAATAAATGTTTTCAACCATTTACACGCCTGTAAACTGATCGGAAATAAAGATCGCAAGACTCACAAT